ATAACTTCAAAGCGCAGAATCCCTTGCCCTCTGAAATTTAGATCCAGGATGTCTGGGATAGGACTTGGAGAATCTGCAGCAGACTTTTGCAGGTCATCTGTGTGGTCAGTTGACAGACTTCACTCACTATAAGAAGCTGACAGAATAGGGACTATTTTAGTCATCATTGCATAACTAGTGCCTGGCACACACAAACCCAATAAATTGTACTGAATCAACTGAATGAATGATCTGGAAAACATCTGGGGACTCCTCTGAGGGAATCATTGTATATAGACCCAAGACCAGTTAAATCAAATAGCACTTTGATTATGTGCTGTAAGAATTCCTCAACAGGTCTGAAACTTGAAAGGGATTGAAGAACACACTTGATTGTCATGCATCCTGTGAGAAGAACAATTGAGCAGATTATTAGGCAGTTGACAAATGCTAATCTTAGATAAACAGAATAGTTTGTGATCTGGCATAAACATTTTAGAACTCATGCTATTCATATTTTATGTTTAATTTTCTACTAGGTCTTGCATCCTCATCTTTCCCAGACAGAGGTACATTACTGCTTCAGCAGAGGTAGAGAAAAGTGTCTCAGGAAAGAGATTACAAAGGAGAAATATTTTTAAAAACTTGGAAATAGTCCTACAGGTGAATATTACATCACTTTATGAAAATATGAATCTTAAATTCACATTTATCAAAGCATGTTCATGTCTGGCTCTAAACCAACCTACCTCTGAGCTTTGAATTAATTCACCCTTAATTCATGCTGATTAAATTCCCTACCTTTAGTTTCTCTGACATTTTCTAGCAGCATCTTCCAATTTTTCCCCATCGACACCATATTTAAAACCCACTTCAGGTAAATAAATTTCAGCCAAAACTCTTTCTTGCACTAGAATACTAAGAGTGCAGCACCCCCTCAAAGGAAAGTTAGGTAAGTCCAGGGGTTGACCCATTAATAACACTATGAAGACACAATTTTAAATAATAGATTTTATGTTTAGAAACAGAATTCTTTTGCCTAGATAAGAGGTTTGACTTTTCTTTCACTTTGAATATATTAGATACACGCACATATGAATTTCATTTAAGTTAAAGAATAAGTTGTCTTTATAAACATAGTCAGAAAACATTATAGCCTGGGCTTAGCACTCACAGATAAGGAATCATCAGTCTGCCATTTATGCAAGTTGGTTGTGTTCTCCATGTAATCTAAGTATAGCTTTGCTAAGAGCTAAGGCCTCTCTTTTCAAATCTTGGGTCTTTCATTGTGCTGAGTCACATTAGTCACTGTTTCCTTCTTGGTGTGATAACCAGAAATGATTATCTTTCTAACAGAAGGATGTTTGGGAATTAACTATTACTAATAACTGTGAAAACCGAAAACAACAGATATTGTTACTCATACTTTATAGCTTGTATTCTGTTAATAAAAATGGGAGAGGAAAAAATGGGAGGTCTTCAGATCCACCTGAAATTTCAAGTAAGTAGTTTTGGCTTTTTACATGAATAAGTTGTTCATTGGAAGTGCTCTACTGAACTGATCTGCCATCCCAAGGCAAATCTGGCAGACAAGGGTAACCGAAATTAGCAATAAAAGGAATATACAGAGAGGAATTGGAATGTTTTAATCTTATAAATATATTTAAGTAAAATATAATTCCTTAGGAATATATACAAATAGAAAGTGTATACCTACATATGCCCTATATGTTGCATGTATAGGTTTCTTTTGTAGTTTTGAAGAATATTTGAGCGGAGCCACTTAGTCATGTATGTTTACTTACAATATTTAATCCAGTGACTTGAATGTAGTAGATGCTCAGTGAATAAACGATTTTTTAAAATGAATTGACATGCTCTATGACAAGGAACCAGTAAAGTAAAACTTGTTGTAGTTACAGAATATTAAATGGCTATTTGTTCAAAAGATTGTGTTAACATAGAAAGCTATTTATAATATAGTGTTAAACAAAATACAAATATATGATAATGTAATAATGATAGGAAAAAAACCTTTGAATAAAATAGACCAAACATAACTATAGCAAAATGTTAAAATAAGACTTTAGAAGATTCAACTATAGGTATTCTTGTGTTTCCTCTCTACTTTTTATTTTTTCTTTAATAAACATATTTCTTAATCATACAATTTGGTATACCTGTTAAATTGGCAGGGAATGTTATAGGAGTTGATGTATTACTTTGTGACAGCTCACATTTCTGACATAATGTCATGTTGCTATCTAATTGGTAGAGCTTCCAAGCAAGAAGACTAGTTAGAAGGTAACTTATCATAGTTTATGTATTAGCTAAGAACATGTTTAACTACACATAACAGAAAACAGTCTAACCAAATTGGGGTTACAATGAGTTCAAGGGTAGCCAGTTTAGGACTGCTGCTACAGCCTCAAGGTGTCATAAATGACTCAGATTCCTACCTTTCTGTTCCAGAATCCTTAGCTTATGGATCCCATCTTTGTATTTCCCACATCATGTTCTCTTTCATTTTTGTCATGAGGCTCCATCTCCATCCTTAGGTCATGTTATAGGAGGAAGAAGAAAAGAACAAATGGAAGGGGTGTCTATATATGTCAAGGAAGAAATGCATTTTTAGCACCAAATGTCTAGAATTATATGCTGTGGGCACTCATAAGTGTACAAAATCCAAGAAAATGAGGTTCTTGGCTAGGCACATTGTTAGCCCTCCCTCCTTCCCGTAAAAAGTATCAGGGTTCATTCTAATAGGGAAGGGGCAATCATTAGTATCTAGTAACCCCCTTCTCATATAAGAAATATACTTTTCCCCTTCCTAAGAGAAACAATCTAAGAGTTTCATCTAGTTATTGTAATGAGCTTACAGTCCAGGATCCAGAAGTTCCAATGATAGGAGATACTCCCACTGTGTGGCTCTTCATGCTCTGGGAACCAACTCTGACAGAAAAGTTATTTGCCTCATACTCTTATTAAGTAATGGTGGATAGACAAGGTACAGAATGGTGGTAAAAGTCCCATCAGAAAAGGGGAAAACGGGAAACAAACAGTGAGCACTGGTCCATTGAACATCACCAATCCTTTTGGGTAACTGTAGCAAGAAATCTATGCTTTTGGTCATTTAATCTGTCAGTTCCTGATCTTGCTCTGTAGGACCTTTCTTATCCCATTATCTTCCAGGGATCACCATTTGGGGTAGACCTTATTAAAAAATACTCTTCTGGAACAGTAAAACTAACTGTTTGAGGAACCTAGATCCAAGAGTGGTGAGTCAAGAATCTGGTGCCATTTTTCTCTTTGAGGCACTGATGTTCTGAAAGTAGTAGAGGCTGAGAACTAGCTAGAATTTTCAACTGCCTCAGGGGAAGTGGGTGGGAAGTGGAAGGTGAAAGATTTGAGTTCAGGGCCTGAGGAAGAAAGACTTCAAACTGGAATTCCAAAGGGCTACACTCTGGAAGTAACTTTTAACTATTAATCCCTGGATTACGGTGGTTTGCCCTTAATCTGAGTGACACCCCCCAACCCCCCCAGTGAACCACACCTTCCCATATTCATGGATTCTTGTGGGCCCCTCCTATGTAGAGGCTGAGTTTAGTCATGTGACTTGTTTTGGCCAATGACACATGAGTAAGCATGATGAAAAGACTTACATTCTATTTTACGTCTTAGCCTCTGAATTCTGTCCACATCATTCCTACCTTAGTTGAATGGCCATCACTTGATGGAATTTGAAATAAGCCTACTGAGGAGGTACTACCCTTAATCTATTCTTTGCTGGTGTGTCACCCAGTCTGGTATAGAATAGTTTAAGAAAACTTGAAACCATTACCTCTATTACTACTGCTGCTTAGCTCCTATTTTGATAGGCTTTCTTTCATGTTTTGTAAGGTAATAATTGGCTTTTTCAACCCAGAAAGTCTCCGAATTATGGAATTCAGTCAGTTTAGATTTCAGGCAGAGAGGACAGCTTTGCAAGCTGTCTTCCCTTCTCTCCCTCTGCCAGCTGTTGGGGATATAGTCATAATTAACTTAGGAAAAGAAACGGACCTTTCTCCTCCAATATGTAGAGACTGTATGAATTGAACGTAGTGTTTCTTCCTCTACCACTGAAAGTCTGTTCAACATAGGAAGAGGCTTACCATCCAAGACATTTAACAGTCCAGAAACTATAGCAAATTCACACGCAGTGTGTATATTGAAGATGAGTGCATGGTACTCTGCAAGTTCCATGAAGTTCCATGGCATCTGAGCTGATCAAAGCTGTATGTAGCCTAATCCTAGTTACATACACAATAGACACCCCACAAACATTTGTGGAATAAATTATTCACTACGGTGTTTAAGGGCTTTCAAGCACATACACGCGCTTTTACTGTCAAAACCCCAAAGCTAGGTTTCCCTTCGGTTACGCTGCCTACGTTTCTCCTCAAACAGGCGTGCCAGCGACCGCGTCGGGTAGGCTGCCGGCCCCGAGGCGCTGTTGGGCTAGCCCGTCAAGTATGGGGCGGGCGACCCCGTCTGGCCACAGTGGCAGTAGCAGCCGTTTGTCTCCTCAGGGTCCAGTGGCGTCAAGGGCAGGAGGCGTCTTAGGAGGAGGCAAATAAAGCCAACTGTACAGAAACGGCTCGTTCCGTTTCACATCCTCTCTCGGGTTCGGGTTTCCTCGGAACACAGTGACCCTTCAAGTGTCTGCAGTCAGGTAGAGTCAGCCCCACACGGCGCACAGCAGCCTGCTCACAGCGGCGCGCGATCCCCAGCGCGCGTAGATCTGGACCCTCCGGGACCCAGCTGGCCCGCGGAAGGACACGCCCCCTCGCGGGAGCACGCGGCCGCGGCCGGCACACTTCGCGCGCCTCCCTGCCAGAGAGCGCGCACGCGCACGCGGGGCGGGCCTCCTTCCCGGCACCCACTGAGCGCCCGGCCCTCTCACCCCACCCCTCTCCCCCGCTGCCCAAGCTCCGCCTCCGCGACGGGGCAGCGGAGAGGAGGCAACCGGAAGCCACTTTAAAGCAGAGCTCGGGGTGACAGGCGAGCGAGCAGAATCGGGAGTGCGGTCGCGGCTTTCTGCACTCCCGGTGTTGGAATGGCCCGTGCGCTGCTTGTCGCGTCTCCGGCCTGCGACCCTTAGACGCCTAAGCCTTCCCTGCGCGCAGATCCTCCCGCGCGGACGCTGCCAGAGCCGGCTGAGGCGACTCGGCTCCTGCGGTCCGTTCTCTCAGGCTGCGCGATCAGGTAAAGGGCTCCGGGTGGGCTCTGAGGGGCTGACGAGAAACCTTAGCTGGGATGGCGGGCGCCGACGGGGGCTCCGGCTTCGCAGCCTCTCACGGATCTAGGGGTAATTGATAGGTAGACGGTGCCTTTTTCTACCGAATTCACTCGGATCCCGTCAGGACCGCGATAGGAGTGATTTACACTTCTTAATCACTTACGGCCTCGGGCAGGTGTATAAATCTAAGGAAGACACTGAGGGTTTAGTCAGGGTCGCCCCGGCGGCGTCTCCCCAGTCCCACTTGGTCTGGGTGGGCGCGGGGGCGCGTCTATGCGGCCTCCCCCGCCGGGCGGACCCCGAGCGCTCCGAGGCGAAGTGAGGAGAGGCACTTCGCAGATTGAGGGGCAGGGCACGGCAGCTGAGGGGAGCCTTGCGGCACACCCGCGTTCCGGCTGCAGCCCAGAAGTTTGCAGGCTGTTTTCAGATCAACTTTGAAGGCACAGAAGTCCTCGCCTTCCTGCCCGCCGCCCCGAGAAGCGCCGGCCGCCTTTCGCCCCGCGCTTCGCGGCTCGTTTCTGCGAAGTCTCCGAGACCCGCAGGACGATCCTCTCAGGACGGTCGGTTGAGGAGGCGAGGAAGAAACTAAGTGGGGAAGGCGCCGTGAGGGGCTTCTGGGTTGGGGGGAAGCCTGGGTAGGGCCCGTTGGTCGGGGCGAGGCTGGCGGGGAGGGTTTGGGGGCGCTCCGGTGCCTGCCCAGGGGAAGGCGAGGGAGTGCGATGCTTCGGAACGCGCGGAATCGACCGAGCCGGGCGGCGGCTGGGTCGCGCAGCGCGGAGTTGGCGCGGCCCCGGGGGCGGAGCTGCGGAAACCGCCGCGGCCGGCAGGAGGCGTCTCTCGGACCCGGGCTCGGCGTCCGGGTGTCGCGCAGGGGCTGGGGGCGGGGCTGGGGCTGGGGGTGGGGGGCCAGCCCGGAGTTTGCAGCGCGCTGTGTCGGTGCACCGCGCGGCAGGGGGGAGGGGGGAGTGATATCACGAGGTGAGGGGTGGAGCGGTAGGTCGCCTGCGGACTGCAGCCGGCCGCGGGAGGGCCGGAGGAAGTGTCCTTCCAATCTTTATTTTTCTGTCATGCAAACTGATTGAGGAACTAGGTTCTAGTGACTTCCTCACTCCAGCCACTTCAGTTCTCTGCCTCTTCCTCAGTTGTATTTCCGAGTTTGACGGAGGGCAATAACCAGAAAAGTTACCGTGTGCGTACACCTCTATAAATAAAATTGGTTCAGTGTTTTGCCTTGAGTGGATGTGGTAGGAGTGGCGTGTGCGCGCGTGCGTGCGCGCGCGCACGCGAGGGGAAGGCACAGGCGGGTTTAGTGTGGTGGAGAGGGAATACCACAATCTGTGCCAATTGTGCCTTGAGGCGAGAGCACCGAGTGATGAATAATAACGCCTGGCTTGGCCGCTTTCCAGTTGATTTATGTCTTATGTCAAGTCCCTCCTTCGTGAAGCTTTCCCTAACAATGCCAGCTCACCCTGCACTCTTTCTGCGTTTTCCTTTTGTACTTACCGTGTGCACGAACACCTGGTTAGATACAATTGAGCACTAAAAAACAGGTTTGAACTTTCCGGGTCCACCTATATATATGAGGATTTGTACACTACTGCGAACGTATTTTCTCTTCATTATGATTTTCACAGTAACATTTTTCTTTTCTGTAGCTTACTTTGTTGTAAGAATAACAGTATAATAACACATGTAACACAAAATTTGTATTAATCGGATGTCTGTTAATCGGTTAACGGTAGGCTGTTAGTAGGTAAGTTTGGGGGAATCAAAAAGTTATAGATGGATTTTTCCAGGGGTTGGTTCCGTGAACCGTGGCTTTCTCCCGCTCCCACCTTGTTCAAGGGTTAGCTGTACTGTGCTTTATTTTGTTCGAATTTGATCATCATAAATTTTTTATACATAGATTTATGAATCTTTCCAATTAGATTTTAATATTCATTTTTCTGGGGACTAGGTCTTATAATTTTGTTATTGTTAACCTATAAAGGCTAACCGAACTAGGTATTTAACAGGTGATTTTTCTTAAGTAATTCAGTTAAAAAATATTATGGAGCACATACTGTGTGCATTGTGCTAGGCATTGTGTACAGGTCACCTGGGATGAGTATTTGATGAAGCCATGGACCCTTGCATCACTGATCTCTTGTTCTTTTAGTCTGTGGGCCAAGAGAGAAGATTAATTGCTTATCACCAGCTCTTTTCCACCTCCTACAGTGCTAAGTAAAGGAGGAGGAGACCCTATTTGTCATTTTACAGAGTTTTCTTTGCCTTTTACTTTAAGTTGTAGTTTTTTTCAAGGGGTCTGATTCTTTGAAGAGAGCGCCTTTTTGGTTTCAGTAGTTCATTAGGAATCTGACATTTGGGGTGTATGTTTTATATTTTTGCATTATTTTTCTATAATACGCCTTCATTTGCTTTAATAGAAAAAGTCATATATGTGTCATCTGAAGACAAGGAGGCCCTTTCTCAATTAAGAAGTTGTGTGGTTTCTAAAACAGCATATAGTGGTTGCTGCTGATGTAGTTTCTGTTGCTAAACAAGCGACTGGTATTCCTTCACCAATGGTGGTAATGTCTTGGGGATTGTAAAAGCAGATCCTTAACATCCTTCAGGAGTATATTGGAACTGAGAAGAAGTGCAGTTGAGGGCCCCTGTTTCCTGAGTAGATCCTCATGCTTTAAATTCACTCACTATTTAACTTTCAAGTTTATCCTTCATTTGGTAAACTTTTTTTTTCTTTTCTTACAAAGAAACCATTTTTGTCACCTCGTGAGATAGTTGATAAACAAGTGTGAAGAGAACCACAAAAGCAGAGAAGATGCGGTTTCCCTGCTGTCATCAGTTAGCCACACTTATTTCTGCGCCTTAACCCCCAACCCCACCCTAGACTTAAACAGTAAAAACTGATAACACCAGCAGAATTACCAATCATATATTGTCCACAAATACATGTCAAGAGTCTATTGGAAGATACTATCTCTTTACGTTTACCTGCTGTGGGCTTTTAATTAGCCTGGGCTGCTTTGGAACCTTAATTTCTCATTAAAATTTAAAATTGGCCCATAAAGATGAAATACGGTATAAGAGGAGTGACTTCAGGGACTTAGTCACAGACTAAAACAAAACATTTTGATGAATGAATGGGATCCACTTGTTGTCAGCTTGTAAATGATCATCATCTTTCTTTTCCTTGCAGGATTTTTAGACTCTGAGGAGCAATTGGAGCTAATCCACACCATGGAAATGGAAACCACCGAACCTGAGCCAGACTGTGTAGTGCAGCCTCCCTCTCCTCCTGATGATTTTTCATGCCAAATGAGACTCTCTGAGAAGATCACTCCATTGAAGACTTGTTTTAAGAAAAAGGAACAGAAGAGATTGGGAACCGGAACCCTGAGGTCTTTGAGGCCAATTTTAAATACTTTGCTAGAATCTGGCTCACTTGATGGCGTTTTTAGATCTAGAAACCAGAGTGCAGATGAGAGCAGCTTACATGAACCTATAGTGAAAAAACCCCTGGAAATCAATCCGTCATGTCCACCAGCAGAAAACAGTATGTCTGTCCTGATTCCTGATGGGACAAATGTTGGGGGCCAAATACCAGAAGCTCATCCTTCCACTAATACTCCCGAACAAGTGGTTCCAATCCAGGATCACAGCTTTCCACCGGAAGCTATCAGTGGGACGGTGGCAGATTCTACAGCAGGGCACTTCCAGACTGACCTTTTGCACCCCGTTTCAAGTGATGTTCCTGCTAGTCCTGACTGCGTAGACAAAGTCATGGATTACATTCCAGGGGTTTTCCAAGACAACAGTTTTACAATCCAGTACATTTTGGACACCAGTGATAAATTGAGTACCGAGCTCTTTCAGGACAAAAGTGAAGAGGCTTCCCTTGACCTTGTGTTTGAGCTGGTGAACCAGCTACAGTACCACACTCACCAAGAGAATGGAATTGAAATTTGCATGGACTTTTTGCAAGGCACTTGTATTTATGGCAGGGATTGTTTGAAGCACCACACGGTCTTGCCATATCATTGGCAGATCAAGAGGACAACTACTCAAAAGTGGCAGAGTGTATCCACTGATTCCCAGGAGCACTTGGAAAGATTTTACTGTAACCCAGAGAATGATAGAATGAGAATGAAGTATGGGTATGTATTCATAACTACTTTAAAGCTATTGTTAAATCCTATACAGAAGGTCAAGAGGCTAAATGCTTAGTAGGGTGGTTTCTTTCAGTAGTAACCTAACAGGTTTTATTCTTTTTTCTACTGTTACTCTTTTGGCTGTATGCTATCCTGATTTTTCATGTTGGTTTAATGCACAGTACTTACCTAACCAGACTATAAAGGTTTTATGATTTGAACAATCCACATGTCACTCTGTGCAATGCGTGCATGCCAGAGAAGTTGCATATACATTGAATGTTGTGAATCAGATACTGTTTTAATCACACAAAAGAGCTTGCTTTTGAAAGAAAATCCAAGGTTAATCTTAACTATAGGATAGATAATGAATACCAGATTTATCTAATTTTAAAGTTTTGCATGTTGAGTAGCTACTGGTTTTTTAAAGGAAAATAGTATCTTTGGAGATATTTGTGTCCCTCTTTCCATTTTTGAACACTACAGTTTTTCTGTGAGCTTCTTCTCAAACTTCTGAATCACACCCAGACATACTAATTTTTTTTCTCTTTTTAGTTCCGTAAGGCTTTCTGCCTTTAAGTTTATTATTCTATTTATCTTGTAGATAATTTTTTTTTTCAATCCAGGCTATTTTCTCAGACCTGAACAATGAGTTGTAAGGGAAATTTATGTTAATAGTTGTTTATCACTTACATAAAAAACAGTTATCCTCAAGTTTGTGTATGCAAGACATGTATGTAAATAATTCAGTTCTTTTACTGTGGATTCACTGGTAGGGAACTAAAATTTCCACATCTGGATTCTTATTTAATTAAATATAAAAATGAAGAAGGAAATGGTAGTTGCTATGTGTGAAGTTGCTAGTGTAAAAATGACTGCGTAGAGGGGCGCCTGGGTGGCTCAGTCTGTTAAGCGTCCGACTTAGGCTCAGGTCATGACCTCACGGCTTGTGGGTTCGAGCCCCGCATTGGGCTCTGTGCTGACAGCTCAGAGCCTGGAGCCTCTTTCGGATTCTGTGTTTCCCTCTCTCTTTCTCTCTCTCTGCCCCCTCCTCTCTCTCTCACACACACACTCTCTCTCTCTCTTTCAGAAATAAATTTAAAAAACATTAAAAAAAGAATGGTTGTGTAGTAAGCATTAATCTTTACATTTCCAATTTGTTTCTCCTGTGGCATAGGAGTTAATATGTGTGACATTAATGGCTATTTGTCTATGACCAAGAGAAAGGATTAAATTATATGAGGGGGAGAAGAACACATCTGTCCGTATTACCTGACTTGGAAGACAATGAGAGCAACCTGACACCTTCACAGATAATGAATGGTCTGAGACATATAGTAGGCATGACCCATAGAAAGAAAAATATGCTGAGTATCCAAACCCACAAATCCAAGAGAAAACTTTGTCATCTTTGTTCATAGATAAGTTGGGTTATACTAACCCAGGTGTCTAGAGAGCCAGCAATCAAGTGGTGTCAATAAACTAACTATTTTCAAGTTGTTTAATTTCATTAAGTCTTGATGTTAACCTGTGTTCTAACATATGCCAGGGCATTGTTGTATTGTAGAAACCAGGTTTCCGGTTTTTTGTTTTTTAATTTGTTCCCCTTTAGTATTAGGTAAGTGGTTTTCTTTTAATATTGCGTTATTTAAGTTGTATAGTACACCTATCTGTGTGTCTTTTTAGCATCTTAATTATCATGAGACTAGAACTTTGCATCATGTGTTTCAAAAGGGATGCATGGGGGGGGGGCGCCTGGGTGGCTCAGTCGGTTAAGCATCCGACTTCGGCTCAGGTCATGATCTCACAGTTTGTGGGTTCAAGCCCCACGTTAGATCTGTGCTGACAGCTAGCTCAGAGCCTGGAGCCTGCTTCTGATTCTGTGTCTTTCTCTCTCTCTCTCAGAAGTAAATTAAAAAGTTTAAATTATTAATATTGGGTATTCAAGATTCTATCTTGCTTGAGTAAAAAAATTCTTAGATCCTGTAATAAAGCAAAGTACATTTAAGTTTTTTTTAAAGCCAGCATTGGAAGAGAGAAAAATGTTTCCCATTTTATCTTAAAAATCTTTTTTAATAAGGTATTGTCTGAAATCTCTGTTGCCCATGAGCTAGCAATTCTAATTGGTATGTCAAGGGTAATTAATTTTATATACTCTCAAAGCCACTGTAATCCTTCCATCTCCAGATTGCAAAACTGCAGAGCGGTAGCCTCCCACTTCAGTCTTATGAAGCAAATTTCCAGTCTGCTGAGTACTTCAGCATCTTGGTACATTAAGTTTCTATCTGTTTGAATTGGTCAGGAAGAAACTAGCAAGATTATTGTCCAACGCATTACATTCTGTTACCATGAGCAAAGCAAGACAGGTATTTTGATTTCAGAATATCCAAGAACTCTTAGATCAGGTATTTTATTCCCTGGTAAAATTAGTTGGCTGAAGAATTAGACAAAGCTATATAGGCCAAAGGTATACATTGTTGGCTAATTTATAAAGTAGTTGCAGTGAGTGCTTGATTTCCAAATGTGTTTTAATGAAGTAAACTAATATTTATTTGACACTTGAGAGGAAAAGTATGAGTGAATTATTGTAATTACTAATGCTGCTACATTGTTAATACTAATAAGTGGTCCTGCTCTGATAAAAAGTGCAAAAAAGTATTAACAGGTAATTACTAGTAAAGTGAAGTTCTCCATAGACAACAGTAAGACATAGAAGATTGTAGATAGCTAAGTGTCAAAAATTAGGCTTTTGGGAAGTTGACCTGTGGTCATTGCAACCTGGTTTTCCTTGTATTCCAAAGCGATGTTGTGTATCCTGGCAACAAGATGCAGATAACGGCATGTTGAGCCTTGCTGAGAGATTCACAAACAAGCTGGAGCAGCCCAGGTTCACATGGTTACCACATTATTTGGCTAAAGCTATTAATCTCTGTGGTCAGGCCTGTAAAGCTGGTCTATCTGTACAGATTGCACATAACCAGGAAGTGTGTGTTCAGCTGTGTGTATGTCCAAGTCTAGCCTAGCAGTCTTGAGATTCAGAAATAATGAATGGCAGTTGTTTATCCCACTTATTTTCAGCAGTTTATATGACTTGGTAGATCATTATTATATACTATATCCATGATACTTCATTGTAGGTAGGGAACTTGGGAAAAGTTCATAGTTCTGGGTCTCTAGCAGAGACAAAAGTTCAAAGTTTCAAAACTACAGATGAAATTCTTTGTTTTGCAAATGGATTGGATTTAACATCTAACTTAATCCAAATTAGATGTGCAGTATTTATTTTATTCTCAAGAATGAAATTGGAAAGGACGTTGAGCCAGATAAGTTCACAGGTCTCTTCCAACTCTTTAGTCAAGATACTAAAAATTTTAGTGTCTATATACTAAAAACATTTTTAAAAGAGGATTTCAGTAGTAGGTGCTTATTTGGTTTATTATAGTGAAATTATTTTAATTACTCTTTTCCAATTTTGTCTTTATCCCAAATTATGATACAATCCCACTTCACTTTTTCACTCTGCTTTTATATATCTCTAGATGTTCATTGCTGACATCAACTGGAAAGTAGTTGTATGTGTGAACTCCACATATTTAGATACCAAGGCTTCTTTTGCACACGGGATGGGCTTTGGAGAATTTCCAAATTCCAAATACACAGTTAAGAAAACAACATTGAATGTTGTGTTTTCGATTAAGAAAACACAGTCTCTGACAGCTTAGGCACTCATCCTTAGTAAAAAATGATACTAAATGGCAGGACTAAGCAATTTTGAAAGAGCTTTACAAACTGTGTGGAATACTGTTGTGGATAATTGAAATTGTGGAGGATGTGCAAATCTCCCTTTAGCAACTGAGATCACCATTGTTTTTCATTTTATATTCATTTTAAAGTGAGCCAGAATACAGAATAGTCTTCTAGTTACTACTACCCATAAAGGAAAGGCATTCTGCAGAATTTATTTTGGAGGTAGTCTATATGTGAAAATATGACCAGTGATTATTTCTAATTCTGAATTTCCTGAAAGGGGGAGGTTAAGAAGAAAATTGCAAACCCTGACTCCATGGTTAATTTTTCTCGGAGGCCAATGTTGTTGTTTTCCTTTTTTGAAATTAAAGCTTATTGATATGAGAGGGAGTTTTATTAGTTTATGGTTTAAGCCTAGTGTGTTGTTATACTCTTAGTTTTGAGTGATTTTGATTGCTCTTAGTTTTTTGTGTTTGTTTTTCTTTAATCTGTCCGAGGGACAATACCATTAGATGATTTCATGGGAACTCTGTGAAAGAAGACAGAGAAGATTGTATATTAATGATAATAGAGAGCATATGCTGCTATTTTTTATGTGACTTGAAGAGTGGATTATATAAAGTAGAGCAAGCTCCTGACTGAACTATACTGGAATAGTTAAATTAGCCAAGTTAGCTTTGGCCTGCACAGCTGTGATGATATAGGAACTAACTCATTATGTGTTATTGATAACACTGGAGAGAGGAGAACAGCTGAAACTTACTATGCCTTGTGACTTTTTGGTATTTCTTGAATATACACAGCTGGATGAGTTTGAATTTATTTTAAAAATTCCTGCCTAAGAGAAAGAGAGAGCTCCATAAGCAAGAACTGTGTTTGAAGTGACTTTCAAAATGTGTGCCTTCTGCTTTAGGATAAAGCAATCCAATGAATTATTTTTTGTACCTCTTTATGCTCTATTTACATATGAAATATAACTAATTGGCTTCTGTCTGTACTAATCCAGAGAAGTTACTGGGTCTGTGTAGAGCTATCATGGGAATCAATAGCAATCATCCATTTATTTCCTTTCTGGTTTTTTGTCAATAAGCAGATTAGACTTTTTGAAGCAGCTGTCACCTGGCTTCAGGTTGGGGTCAGTCTGTTCCTGAAGTATTTATGGTAATGAAAATGAACCTTGCTAAAGTCAAAGATGTATAACTTTCAAATCAGACATTTGAAGAAAATAGCTTATAAGGTTATCTGGCATGAGACAATAT